ATTTGCAGCTATATCATTAACCTTTTATTTTTACATTTAACAATTTTATAGTCTTTTGTTTATGTCATGCCACTTTTGGGTCTTTTCTAGTATGAAATGATCTGTTACATATGAAAACTGTTTATCTTGATATAGTGCCTTCTTCTGTTGTGGATTTAGTTCTATTTATTAATCTCAAACTAACATGTCATTTATAAAACTTTTCCATTAAACTATAAAACTGACTGATTTCCTTGATGCTTCTGACAGAAGAGAAAATTGAGTTTTAGCACGAATTTGAAAGTTGGCTTTATAATTCTGCTGTGGTGTCTCATCACTCAGACAGCTTCTGATATATATTTTGAAGTATAATAAGACCTGAGAATTTAGAGGAGGGGTTTAATTTACAGGGCACGCTGATGAATCCTTCTCTCAAAAACATTTTTTTGATTTCTCTGTTGATGAGGAATATCTTGGTGATTTCCCTCTGCAGATGCTATGCAGCATTGCCTTTTATTTAGCTACTCCTTTGCCTTAAACTTCTTGTAAAACATTTATGTTTTACATAACACCCCTCTAGGTGAAGCTGCTCAGAATTCAAAAAATATCAATTCACCTGAAGTTTTTGCTGCTCTTAATAAAAAAGGGCTTGAGCATGGCTGGAAGAGAGAGTTTACCCTGAGTGACTTTATTGAAGCCCCATCTTGCAGCTTAGTGCCTTCTCCTTGAGCTCTGCAGGAAGTGGGAAATGGGAAATGTTTGGAAACAAAGAGGTAAAAACCCAAGACTTCATTAAGTGAAGTGCTACAGTCCCACTAGAGCATTTTACTGCTAGTCCTGGTCTCCTGAGTCCTGCACTTTGCATTACAAGATTGTCAGTGGTGATGATGGCTAAATAACAAAGCAGTCCCTTGCCAGCAGTAACAAGAAATATCATGCATCCTTTTCCAAGTGTTGTTATGATAAGAAAATGTTATTTCCCATCAACTCTGATAGGTCTTTATAAGTTCTCATGATACTATTTCACTCAATTTGACATAGCTTTCATTACAAACATACATCTAATATCGAAGTTGCTGAAACAAATTCTCTTTTATTTGCAAGAAATGTTTGGGGTTTCATTCTACTTCTATGTTACTCATTTAAAAAAAAGTATCAAGTGCCAATTTATTATGGACAGTCCCAAACTTTGTTGTTTTAGTCGTCACAAGCAGTGGAGGTGCAGCCTCTCCAACTTAGTAGGGAACTGATATGACAGTAAACCCCAGAGGACCTCAATCACATTGAGCATACCCAGCTGCAGCCTTGTGCTCCTCTGCCCTACTAAATTGATTGTCTGTCTTCTACCAATGGAAGAAGTTGAGCCAGCTAATTTTGAGAAACTCTCCCTTCCCTTTAGGTTTCAGGTTTTTAGGCTGTTTTCAGAAGAATCTGAAAATGGTGAAGAAATTATAAATTAATGTGGGAAAATTTTTTGTTGAGAAAAACAGCCTCCTTATAATCAAAATGTTTCTGGTGTAACATTTTGAAGTACTCACATGCACCTAACTCCAAGTGAAACTATCTTTCACAGAATCTAGGCTAGTTTGGTGGCCAATGATGGACACAGAGATTTTGGATTTGGGCAAACATCAACAGTATGCGCTCTTCATATCTGTGCAAAATCAGCCTGTAAATGTTCACAGGTGCCTGTTTCCTCCCCTTTATTCTGATGATTTCTATCAAATCAATTACCTGAATCATAGCCTATATTAGTGATTGCTTTTTCATTTGCACAGAGCTAAAATCTTTGTGACCTTCCCTGCTTCTGGGGGCTCTACTAGACATGAGAAGAGCAGCACTCAGATGTCTCCTCTATTCAGTCCAAAATGCTCATATGGTATAAAGAAAACAGATCTTAATATGTTTCCTCTGCCATGATAAGGAATTATTAGCTTTTTAACTTCTGCCTGTGTTGCCTGCAAGGTGTTATAATTTAGAAGAGAGTAGCAATTTGAGGAGGAAAGACATGCCTCCTACCTCTTTCTTTTCTTTAGATTCTCCTTGGCGCCCACTCCACCTCTGCTAATGTATTCTGTGGGCTTTGGGGATGAGACAAATTACTCTGTGTTGGTGACAAGAGCAGGATAAATGAGACTTAGCTGTGCAGGAAGAACTCTCTGCATAGCCTGATGGTGAAAGCACTTCTTAGTGGGGAAGGAATGGTACTGTATGTTGGCAGCCTGCTTCCAGGGCTCCTTCAGTGGTTTCATGCTGTCACTGTATATAAAATAAAGAGTGAGCCCTGCAGGCAAGAAACATGAGCAACTTCCCAGTTTTGTACAAGTGCCATAGGCAATAGACTGTACCCTCATGTTTCTGCTTGTGCTCTCTTATTGACTTGTGAAATACAAATTTATATTTTTTGCCTGTGACATAGTTTCAAAGAGAAGCTCTTTCCCTCCCACTAATGGAGAGGAAGTGGGAGGAGAAAGATGAATAACTCAGTAGGCAGCAGGAGAGGAAACTGAACTTTATTTCTCTGTGTTTGTGGTGGATGCCTTAACCACAGTAATCCATGGAAAGGCTAATAATTTGGGGTTTTTTTAATGTGTAACTCTGTGTATGATATACATGTGCACCCTTATCTTTGGGAATATATTTGTGGCCACTGAGGTATTTTGTGGGACCCCAGGCCTGCCTGATGGGTGTATTCAGAAGCTGCTTGGCAGATATCAGGGAGATGCACATGAAGACAAACTTTTTATCTGATCCAATTTAGGCATGAGCTGAACACCAAGCCTTTTAGCATGAGTCTGGTGGCAAAGTGCAGTGTTTGTATTCATTTATTTTCCAGTATTACATTTTTCAGGCATTTAAGGTGATGATCTGAAAATTTATCCCAAGGGTCAGTTTAAGAATGGACAGGTACCGAACAGCTTCATTCATATCTGTGCTGCAGGCTTTTGTCTTTCAGATAGTTCTGGGTATTTCAAAGCTACATAAAATCCATAATGGCATCCATGACCCACCAGTGTGAATTTCCTCAGTACCCACTCTGGGCAAGCTTTCTGCTCCAGATACCAGCACGTTCTCATGCCTGGGGAGGTAGCCAGGCAGTGACATTGTGGATGCTAGTGAGCCATTAAAGTTTTCTGTCACACTAACCAGGGTTATTGTGACCAGTGGCCTTCCCAAAGAGAGAGAAACCCATGGCCAAGGGTTGTTTTGAGTAGGTAAGGGTATAATTTGCACACAGCTGCCCTATTTCAGAGCCAAGGACACTTTAATGGAGGCTATGCTAAGCCAGCTGCCTTCAGTGCTGGGAGTGTGATAGGACACAAACAATTTATTGGTGCAGGTGAAGACCAAAGATGCAGGAGGGTTTTAGTGAATGTCAGGGCAGAGGTGACTCTAAGCAAATCCTTGTCTGATTTGACAGCTCCATCTTCTTCTTGCCTACTAATGTCAAGGCTTCAGGAAGAAGACACATTGTCTTTGGTGGTCTCTGAATTTTTTTAGTTGTTTTGCTGACCCAGAAGATTTCCACTTGTAATGGGAATGAAAAAGTCTCTGGCTCTGGTCGTGGATGTCATAAATGCCTTCCTGTGTGATGCAGGACTCTCAATATGTTGTTGCCAGGCCATAAAGTGTAAGTTCTGACTGTGCCAAAGAGCTCTCAAAACTCTTTATTTACAATTCCGCACATGGGATTTGGGGCACCCTTGTATTATACTGTGTGATTTTTAATTTATATATGTTGGATCAAATATTTAGCTGATAAAAGTCAGCTATATAAAACTTCACTGATTGCAAAGGAGCTGCACCAAGTTGATGATTCCCCTTTTATTAATTTCATTGTTTGGGTTTATCATATTTATTAAGCTCAGCATAGAGAATATAGTTTTCATGTCTGCTGTAACAGAGGCTTTTTGTACAGAAAAAATGGATTCTGATCTCAGTGACACCTAGCCTCATCTTGCAGGTGAAGATTGAATCTGGCCATAATGTGTAAAATGAAATGGTTTATGTGAAATACCCACATATGATAATACTTTGGTTGGTATTCATAGAGCCATGCTTGCTCCATCTGTCTCAGTTATAAATACTGTAAGTGCATATTTCAGAAAATTTTAGGGTTTGTAACAATGTAGTAAAATCAAGTAGATGTTAATAAATTCTAGCAAGCATAGAAATTCAGTTGTTTCTCAGTAGGTTTCTATTTAGCTGCTCAATATTATCTTGCTACAGCTGCAAAAAATATTGAACTGAGTTTAAACTCCAACAAAAATGCTGTTAAGAAAGTTGATTTTCTATGTTTAGAACAGTGGATTGGATTGTCAAAAATGAGTAGCAAATGTGTTTGCAGAAGAATTTTATATCTGCCTTTTTTGTTTATCTTTTTTATCTAATGTTCAGAAATGCAAAATTCCCTAAGAACCACATGCTGATGCAAAGATAAAGGCTGATGCTTCTTAGTTTCATCCTTTTCCACATCCAACTTAATCCAGACCCAAAATGCCATGAGGACAGTGGGAGGAGAGCTATTGGGATGCCACCATTCCCTTCTGATTTGTAGTTGCCCAAAAGTAAAGGAGCAGCTTTTGAAGAGCACAGATGGCTCGTTTGGCTGCTGGTTTTGAAGCAGTTTGCTCTGAGGTCTTCCAACATTCTCTACTGCCTCTCACCCCCTGAGCCTACGTCTGTGCCTCAGAAGCTTCCAGCAGTCTCCCTTAATTCCTGCATTGGGGAACCCCTGGGATCACAGTGGCCGTGTCTGGGACTTGTCTGGGCCTGCTCTGCCCTTTTGGGCTTTCAGGAACAGATTGAGGAACTTGCACTTGAGTCTTGTTGAGAGTAAATGTAAGAAAACAAAGACAAGGGGGAAGGGAGGGAGCGTGATGCTGTTTCAGAAGCAATAGCGAGGTTTGCACGGCTTTGCTCTCTGCACTGGTGAAGCCTGGTGCAAATAAGAAAATATCAAGTGTTCTGTCCAACCCATAATTAAAAAGTGGATGTTCTGTTTATGTGTTTTCTTACAGCTGGCAGCATTAGAGAGACAAATCTTTGACTTCCTGGGTTTCCAGTGGGCTCCCATCCTTGGCAATTTCCTACAAATAATAGTTGTCATTTTGGGTTTGTTTGGAACCATCCAGTTTAGGCCTCGATATATAGTCGTGGTAAGTCTCATTTATTATATTTCTTTTTGTTTTTTGCCATAAAACCTGTCATATTACAAAGCAGAATTTTCTTGGTTTCAAAAGACCAGATGGTATTTCTGTAGAAACTGGACAGGTCTCCATGTCTTTTTACAAATTTAGGACTACTAAGTGAATTTTTTTGAGATTTTGGACATTATCAAAAACAGATAACATGGAGAAAGTGCTGCCAAAAACATGACTATGGTACAAGCCAATTAGACTATGTAAATAAATAAATAAAGTAAAAATTGTTCTTCTTTCTGTAACAGAATTGATCATGATTATAAAAAAAATTGCAATGGCCAAGTTATATTTGACTGCATCTTTCTCTTAAGCAGAGAGGAGCAGTGATTGTAGAAATTTCTTTGGTCCTGTGATCCATGGGTTCCAAAGTCTCCTTCTCACTTACATGTAATTTTGCCAAGACCTGTATTTATGGCTTTGACCCTAAATTATTGTAAATTCTCTCTGATGCTTGTAACTTGAAGCTTCTCAGTTGTTTTTTTCCCATGTTCTCAAAATATCCAGGAATAAAAAGAAATTTCAAAGCCGTGAAGTAAACTGCCAACAAAAGAAAAATCTCTGTTCCTCTCGCACGTTCATTTTTGAATGTAAGAATATTATGTCTTTACCTGGTAATGGCGGTATTTGGAACATTTTGGTTATGTTGTCAGTAATGGTTTTTAAGAGGCTAAAGTTATCTTTTTCCTCACAAAGGAATGAAAAAAATGTTTGCTGGGGAGAACTTGTTAAACAAATACTTTAAAAGCTTCATGTTTTCTAGTCCAGCCTGGAATCCTGTAATTCTTTGTCATGTCTTAAAAGAAAAAGGGAACAAAAGTGCATCCAAGATTACACTCATGTTAGCTAAGCTTACAAGCAGACTATAATGAATTGAAGATGGATTGATATAAAAACCAGCACTTTTATCTATTATCTGTGGTTGAAGAACTGGGCATCCATGAATCGATGATTCACCTTTCTGCTTCATGCTCTCCATTTTATGCATAAGAAGCGAGTGTAAGCATCTGTAAAATTATGTGGGAAATTCATGTCTGAAGTGCAACACTACAAAATTTCTTGCTCCTCAGGTTCATCACTGCTGTTCAATGATGCAAGCTCTGTTTAAATTTTCAAATGAACTGCAACAGATGTTGACTGTTTCTATATCTTTTCCATTGTAATTGAACATTTTAGGCTGTGCAAAAGTTGTTTTAAAGTAGAGGTAGAAAACTCATAGTTAAAGAAAGAAACACGTCCCCTGCAAGGTACTTTATGCTGCTTTAAATGAACTCCTATTCTGATTGATCTTTACTCATATATTTAGGAGCTCTAGCTCTGGCAGGTGCCAATACTCATTACTGGGGGAGATCAAGGCTTTAGAGCCCAGCTGGTCAGAGTACAGTGCTAATAATGCCAGAGGTCACAGGTTTGATCCCTGTGTGGGCTATTCTGTTAAGAGCTGGACTTGATGATTCCTGTCGGTCCCTTCCAGCTCAGAATGTTCTGTGATTACCCATTTCTTCATCCCATCACCACCTCTCTGAGTGATCTGTGATTATATCCTTACTAGCGTAGGGTTTACAGGGAAGTAGGAGTAGTTTGAGCCAAATCCTGAAGTCTGAAGGCAATCTGTAACATGAAGTGTCTGTAACTGACCTCACACTCAAAGCCAGCAGAATAGGATGGCTGTCACATGCTCTTGTTCCCACTGTCCCCTGACTGAACACTTCCCCAGATCCTCTCCCCCACTTCTGGCAGGAGTTAACTGGATCTGTCAGTAAGTCAGTTCCATTTCTTAGCTGTCAGAAAACAAACCTAGCAAAAAGTGGAGATTTTTTTGATGACCCGAACCCTGTCTGTGAGGTTCCAATGGTTGCCAAGGTTGGCGTAAGGCAGGGATTGGGACTGCATGTTTATGAACAGCAATGTGGAGGTGGAGAGGAAAGGAGGAGTTGCAAGACTTCTCTTGTTGCTAGCTCCAAACTTGTCAGTTCAGCCTCGTGCCTGGCCTTGCCCCCAGGTTGAATTCAGAATACCTCAAGCCAGCATAAGCAAAACTCCCTTTGCTCAGCTGCTGCTTCAGTCCCTGTGCTGTTCCTCTCTTTGCACCAGCACAGGTACCAGTTCAGGCACTTGGTAAACTGAGAACAGATCCAGATTAAAAGCAACCATTTTCTTTACTGGTGTTAAAGTGTAGGTGAGCTCTTTAATGTGCTTTGCTTGTTCCAGAAGATGGGAGAGAAGAAATGGGAGGAAGTAGCCAGAGGAAGGAGAAAAGTGCACGGAGTCTTTCCACAGCAGTGCAGGGTCACACCAGCTTTAAGTTCTTGTTGAGCATAGCCTGAGAATCTTCCAGTCTAGATCAACACATGCTCCCCAGAAGCTGGGCTTCCTAAGGCTGTGCCAGCCACAGTTCAGCTTTGTCCACTGTCCCCAGAAGCCCCAGAAGGAGTCAATGGTAGTCACAGTAAAGACCCCTACCAGTGCCAGCTGCATACTGGCTGTATTCACTAAGGCAAAAGTGACTGCCAACCTATAAACTTTTACTGCTGACTTTAAAGTCTGTTTAATGCAAATCTTCAGCAGTGTCCTGAATTTCAGTATTAAACACAATGAGGAGAGATTCTTACCAAGGCTCTGAGTAGTGAATTAGGCTTCAAATTTATGGAGAAGATTCATGGGCCTCCATGTTCATAGGTCCACTTTCAGCCACATCTAAGTCTCTGGATTTGTTAGTGGTTTGCCTCCCAAGAATTTGGTACTGTGTCTGTGGCTGAAGAAGTATTTTGAGTCATGCTTTTATGTACTCTTATGTACTTTTCTGATTTCGATTAAATTTAATCCAGTTTAACTGGAAAAGTAACTAATTTCTTCAAGAAAATTACGCTTAGTGTCCATTGTCTTTTCCAGAAGACTTCCCTGGAAATCAGCTTCACTAATGCAGATGATCCCATCACAATATTAAAAAACTGAAGTAAAGAGAGAATCATGTCAGATACAATGGTTTACTTCTGTAAACTGTCTTCACAAAATTAATCTGGCATGTGTGCACACAAATTGTCCTCATGATAATCTGTCATACTCTGATGGTGATCTTGACTTCAGTTGACCAGCTCTAGAGCCATTGTTTAACCACAAGAGAATGTTTTTCATCTATCTTGTGTGCAGTGAAGTCTGTGCCTGAAGGTTTCCCTGATAAGTGAAGTTACACAAAAGCTTTCACTTTGTCATCTTATGCTGCATATGTCATGTTCAATCTCCTCAAATTTTGAAATATGTAAGGAATGGGAAAGTAAGTGAATAAATGTAATACATGTAGGGCCATAATTTGAAGCGCATCTATACTGCAGTGAAATATGAAAGTGCTTCTGCAGGCACAATTGAGCAGGCTTTTGTTGCAGATACATAGAGCCAAGAGGTTCAGTGAGGGCTGCAATAGAAACTGATAAAAACAATAGCAGTTGCACGCTTCTGACTCTTCCACTGCCACTGAACTCAGTATGGCCAGTTTATCACTAGGATTTAGTGACTACATAAGCTGCACCATAAATATAGTCATTGTAGATTAAAAGTTTGAGTAAAGAAATTAGTTTGAGCGATATAAAATTTGTCATCAGAGCTTTCTACCAAAACAAAAAGTCTCACTATCTAAGAGCTGCCATGCAGTGCCTGATACATGAGGCGTCTCTGTTGAATTGAATTGTTATTCCAAATAGTTAAAGATAGTGGTTCATGTTCACTGTATACAGTCCCTCAGATAGAGGACTATATGGATGGTGATTCTGAAATAAATTTAGAATTTCACTTGCTCATACTTAAAATACCAAGTCCTCAGAGCTTAGGAAACAGAGAGAGGGAGTAATAACATTGACTCCAAGTGTCCTAATTAGTTTAAATTCAATAACTATTTCTAATAGGTTCTGTATTAATTAGTAATTTAGGTAAATGTTGTGAACAATTTGTCCTGTCACTAAGCGGATGTGCTATTTTCAGTATTTGAATATTTTGTGACTGAATTAAACCTGTGCAAAGTTCCCAGGGGGTATAAAAGTGCAGAGCTGATTCCTAATTTTCCCACATTAGTTCATTTGAAACTTACCCAAACATTTGCAAAGAAGAAACAGCTGAATTTCAGTTCTTACTATGCTGTTGCACTCTTGTCATGAAGCTCCAGAGCTCTGCTGTGATCTGTTTCCTTGCTCATGCTTTTCTTTTCTTAACAGATCTTGCTATCACCAGCAAAATTTTCAGGCTGTTAAAATTGATTAATAATGATGACAGGATACTTGTTAAAGCTGAGGATCTTCTCCCTCTGCTACTTCTGATATTGGACTTCAAAAGGCTTCTGAATGATGAGTCATATAGCTAAAATTGCAAAAGCCAGGCTCAAAGCTGAAAAAAAAGTTAATAGTGAGAGATGGAAATAATATATTTAAATAGGGAGAATCTATGGTGGAAATCTCTTCTTTACTTGCCTTAATGTATTCCATTAAATAATATGATATTTAGGCAATGGATATAGTTGAAAAAGCAGGAAAGAGTTTCTTAAAAACAAACAAACAAACAAATAAAATACCAGGACAGCAGAAGAAAGGCTGTATAGGATATTTTATTCAGTATTCAAGCAAATGTTATACAGACAGTGAAAACACCTGTGAAATATCTAGGTGTCCAACATTACTTGTTGAATTATCCTTCCTGGTAAGTCCTGTGTTGTTACTGCTCCATCATATTGATTTATGTCACTTCCCTGGCCATCTTTCATAATATGGCTAATAACGCTCTGCAAATACTGATGCCAGGTATTACAGGGGGATGATTTGACAACTCAGTGGTTGCTCCTTTCTCTTGAAGTATCCTCAAGCCAACATTCATTCCCTCTAATGCCATGAATGACACTGTCACAGTAGTTGCTGCACTTCAGATTGAAATGTACTCTTGAGACAGTTTATTCATTAAAGCTAAACTTATCCCACAATCCTTGTAATATTCAAATTATAAAATTCCCGTTTTTCTTTTCCCTAACCAGTTGTTCTTTGGATGTTGTGTCCATCCAATGCAATTGTTTTAACTTAGAAATGTTTGTATTTCAATGCATCTCTGCATTGATTTCAATATGATTCTAGAGTCAAGAGGTTGTAGAGTCAAATCTCACTGTTGTAGAGAGGCTGACATTATGAAAGGGGATATTTATTAAAAGTTTAACCTGTAAGGTTTAGTGAGTACTCCCTCCAAGTTATTGGTAAGACTTCAAATGCTTCCTCACACCACATAGTATACAATCATTAGTGCAAAAGGCCAAGAGCAAGAAAAAAATGTAGTGCATCATGGGGAGAAATAAGCAAGGATTATGACCTGGTCCTAGGTCCTTCCTCTAGAAGGAAACTGTTACAAAAATGTTCAGGTGATTTTTAAGTGGTGCATCATTTCAGATATTAAATAAAAATACCAATTCTTCTTTTTGATTCAACCTGTGTGGAAAATTCCTTTTTCATGCCAGATGTAGTGAGGGTTGTGACACTGAGTATGAGGCCAGCTGAGCTGGGTGATCAGGATGTGGGTGGCCAAAGCATTGCTGGGTGTGGGGAAGTGAGAGTGAGCAGACCCAGCAGGATGGACAGGATAATGTTCAGGACGCAGAGTGGGAGAGGTTAAATGGCAGGTCAGATCGTGAAACACGTTAGGTGCCTGGGAGGGAAGTGAAACCTGAGGGTCAGTGTGGGCCTGACGTCTCAGACCTTAACCATTCCTACACTGAGAGAAAATTGCCAGCGTGCATGATGTGCCCCTTCACACAGAGGATGGCAATTTGGACTGTTGCTCTGCTAACAAAAATAAGAAATCTGCATCATGGATCTAAAAGTTACACCTTTTTAATGACTCAAGCAGGTGTTAGTGTGTTGCCACATAATGCAATATTGCATATGGCTTTGGGTTTTTTTAACCTAAAAGGTATATACATATAAATTTATTCAATGCATATAATTTCAGAAAGTATTACAATTTTTTCAGAAAGAAATACTCAAAATTTTAGAAAAGTTGCTTTTAAAGCCCTTCTATGCAGTCTTACTATGATTCTTCTATATATTTTCAGCTTTGAACTAGATAGACACCTGCTAATTTTTATATTTTTGCCTCAGTTTCAGTAGAAAGGATAGACATTTGGGGGTTTTCTGGTGATCACAGATGTAGAACAGAAATCTGACTTGCAGAAAACAGAAGACAATGGGAAGAGTGAGGCACATGCTTCAAGTAAAAAAAGATTGCTTTTGCTATGAAGGCTGTGCTCAGTAGCTGAGTTATCTCTGCCATCAACCACTGAAACCTATTTTGACACAAAGTGAGTCACTTTAACAAAACCTGTCACATGCTTTGTTTTCCCCTTGCATTCTGGATTCTTGTCTTGAGACCTTGTGGTCTGATTTGCACAAGTGCTGCACGTTCAGCCACAGGGAGCTGAACACTGAGTTTAGAAACTGAGGGTATGACCTCAAGCATTCTGAAAAATGAACTCTTAAGGACCTCAAGTTGGATGCTTATAATGTATGAATACTTCTGAATGTAATCTCTGCATGTATCAGAACATCATTTGCATTCTGAGAGCTGTATCATTCCCTTATAACATAAAATAAATTAGTTAATGTTTGTGCAGCTCTCGCACATTACAGCAATGAGCATCTTAGTAAACCTCATGAGGAAATTAATATTCTGTCCTCAGAGCAGGGTCTGAGCCACAAGGAGAAAAGAAGTCTTGAGGTAGCTGTTCACAAAATGTGTTAGGGGAGGTAAGATCTTTTAAAATAAAAATATATCTATGATGATTTTACTAATGTTTGGATTGTACTGCACAGCCACAAAACAGAAAAATTAAGTTGGCATGCATAGCCCAAATTCTGACATTTCCTGCTTTCTTGCCTTTGCTGTCTTATAATCTTTCCTTTAGTACCTATAAAACTATGCAAGGAAAGAATTTGCTCCTTGAATATCCAAGAAGACAATAACTTTCTTACTTAAAAAAATTATATAGTACCAATTACTGAATATAATGTAATTGTTATGTTTACAAAGCAAATGGGTCTCAAATTTAGATCTCTGCAGCTCAGTAGGAAGAGCTTCTCCATACACAGCAGCTGGGTTTCAAGGTGCACGCCTGCTTTGCACCTGCACTTCTCTTTCAGCAATCCTCATAGTGGAGCAGGAACCAAACTGGTTCTTACTGTGTAAAACAGCATAGCCTGGCCTGGGAAAGCAGGCTCTGCTCTGGCAGTTTCTGCCTCAATAGTACAGCATTGGTGCCCATGGGACAGAATGAGGCCATTAACAGATTTGGCTTGGCCTGGCAGATCAAATAGAATTCCTTTTGTTGTGGTGACAGATTTAGTTCACAGTGAGATAAAAAATTCTTTCTTAAAAAGGAGAATACTTCCAAATAGTCTAAATTCTGCTTTTTACATGCATCTTGGATTGTGTGAGTTGTTCATTAATTTTGAACTCAGCATGTAATGATCTGAATATAAATGTTAGAAAATCAGTAGTTGATGATGGCATCAAGTTACTACAAAGTCAACAAATGTAGTAAAAAGTGATATACTCTAGGTTAATCATATGAATAGTACAGACCTCATATTGCTCACAGACCACAACAGCTTTGTCTTTTTTATAATAACCCAGCCTTCAGCTGCCACACTGCCCTTCTTTGTAAGACAGAGGAAACGGCCCAGGAGTGTTACTCTTGTTTTGGTTCTTAGTGACCTACTTCTTGGGCCATTGCCCAACTGCCTACAGACCTCAGAAGAAATTATATTAAAGCAGTTGACCTTTTTGATGTACAGAAATGGCCCTGCGCAGGGGGGGAGTAATCAAGGAGGGGAAAAAGTTCAATCCTCTTTACTTGAACCTTTCCTTGTACATGACGGGGAGAGGAATAAAGAGGGGAACAAAACCCAAAACTGTCCAAGGCCAAACTGATGGCACCTGTGCAATGCGTTGTAGTTCAAGATGTGGAACTTTAATGATTATATTGAAGAAAACAATAGGCACTAATCCTTATCTGGCCACAGCTAAGTAGATTTGCAAAAGCTCTTAGCAGTGGTTTTCTCCACTGTGAAGGCTCCAAGTGTGTGAATGTGAAGTGTCAGTGCTGCTGCTCACTGCATTTGTTCCAGTGGATGCAGCTCCAGCATGGCTGCAGGGACACTTGGTCCATCAGGATGAGATGCTCCTGAGGTGGAGTGCCTGGGGAGTTCCTTGGGAATAGGGTACAGCTGTATGTCAGAAAACAGTGCATCCATAGAGAAATGGTGCCAGTCTGTTGTGCTGACAGGTAAAATGCAAAAGATGATTTGAAGTAGATTAATTAATGTCCCATTCATGCTGTGAGTGCTGTATGAGTTCAGTGTCATGCTGGAAAACCCAGGAGAGGTATGGGTATGTTAAACTGTTAAGTGTGCTTTGTAGAATCAGATTCATGGCAAAAGGCTTGGAGAAGTGGTGAGCTAATTTTAATGTAATAAAGTGTGTTTTACTGTGAAAGATTCTCAAGAGATCAGATTTACACTTTACCTATTTGTTTAAAAAGAAAAAAAATCTAGATTACCAGATCAATAGATCTGGGTTTTTTGGTGGTGAGGTTTTTTCTTGTACCTTTCTCCATAATATTTAAAAGTTACTTCAGTAATATTTATTTATTTAAGGTATTTTGCTTATCTGAATATTCCTTTAAAATAGCTAAATTTTTATTTAAAAATGACTCAGAGTTGTCCCAAAACCAGTCAGCATTTTGGACTTAATTGATATCAGTAGGATAGTGTAAAACTGTAAAGAATAAATCTGTTTTATTGGTATTTATTTAGTACAGCAATGAATATTGAATTTCTAATTTCCGGAGGTTCTTAGGGGACTTCTGCAGGGGGAGCTCCTTTTCTGAACTCTCTGTTCTTGGCTGTTCCCAGAAGAACAATGCTTATTGATATCAGTTTTTTATTATTGATCTGCTCAGTATGAAGTCGTTTTATCTTAACGTTTTATTTTTCTCTCTTTCTTGCTCTCATCCGTCTTTGTGTTTAGTACACGGTGTGGACTGCCCTGTGGGTCACCTGGAATGTTTTCATTATCTGCTTCTATTTGGAAGTAGGAGGGCTCTCTAAGGTAGGTCACTTACCCTTCTTCAGATTTATGGGAGGGTGTCTCAACAGCAGGACTCTCAGATCTCAGAAGACTGCAGCCACAGAGGAAAAAATGTTGTTGTTTGAACATACAATTTGATCTTCAGAGTTTCCCTCCAACAAGAACTGTAATGTTTGAACTTCTCTCTGCTAGTAAATAGCCACAGGTTTGAAGTACATTAATGCAATGAACCTGAATTGCAGTTGCCTTCTAAAGTATCATCCCAAGGTGAGAGGTGGGAAGGTATTCAGTTGTAAATTTGAGGTAGTTTTTGATTGTTGAAAAGCAGGCAGTGTCATTTTGGTTGAATTTTCAAGTGTGTGTAAAAAATGTGAATTTCCAAGGATGCTTTGAAAGAAAATTACTAAGAAGGTTAATATTATAACTTGCTGAGCAAATTGATCTCACAGTGAGAATGTTAATTCTTTATAAAAAAGAACAAGTGGCAAAGGGTGACTTTTGTCACATCTGAATAAAACTTTTCTTTATATGACACTCAGTGTTTTAGTTCACTAATTCTTTATTCAATCCTCTGATTAGAGCAGAAATGTTTGCTAGAATGGCACATCAAAAGATGTGCACTCGTTCAAGGGAGCACTTAAGTTAGCATAGGTTATGCTCAGCACTGTATCTGCAGGCAATTTCACACAACACCTGCTGGTTTTTATCCTCCAGTTGGACACAGATGATGCAGATCGTGGTTTACCACATTTACCACATTTAAATGATTCCTGGCACATGGCACATGGTGATCCCAGCATTATTAATAGAATAAATGTCACTGTTACTGGTTGTAGATTTAGTGACTTGAACTGCATCACTGTTAATTCATGCAGTGCTTTTAGAGAATGCAGTCGTGTGCAGTGTGCTCTGGGAAGACCCTGCTTGAGCAGGGAGGCTGGACAAGGTGATCCACTGTGGTCCCTTCCAACATGACCCATTCTGCGAATTTTTGTTTACTCCACTCAGAGTGGAACATTTATGAACTATGTACTTGCTAGGATTAAGCTAGGATTCCTAGCTTTTGGTTGACAACAAACAGAAAACTGATGAAACCAATTTAATAAGAAATAAGATTTCATTTACTCAGTAGAAATTACATTTAAATTTAAACTTTCAGTGATAGGTTCCTTTGGTGATAAAATTTCATAATGAAAAGCTGCAACAGTTTATTTTTCCTTCAATTATGTAGCTCATGAGGAGTTACAGGCTTGATAAAGAAATTAGTACACTTCATAGAGGATCAAAATAAATTATTCTTATGGTATGTTCTGACTCAAAAATCTATTAGATGAACAGAAGAGCAACACATAGAAAAGATGAATAGCCAAATAATTGTTCATTCTTATGACACAGAGGTTGTATACTTTTATTTAGTTGGGTCACGTCTGTTTTTGTAGTGACTATTATATTTATGTATAGGGAATATATTTATCTAAAGGCTTAGGAAGTGGAGCAAAGCTTTTAGTCTGACCCTTGAATTTGTTTGCAAGTGATTCTGATCATATGCGCAGTTAAGAGGTTTATAAATCCGCAGGTTTGAATTTAAATCCTTCATCTTCCAGTTTCACTTCTGTTTTTCGCTTTTTTGCTCTTACTTAGCGTGACAATCACAATGCAGAGAAATAGTAGCAAAAATACTACCTGGCAGTTGACAAAATTCCCTTTTATTAGGGTCTACTTCAGTTAATCTCAACATTTTTGTGAAACTTTTTTCTTGTGGTTTATAATTACATTTAAAAAGTGTTTCTCAACAAGGTGATAGACACAAAATTATTTCCCTGGAAGTTAACTGCTCTTGTATAAATTACGCCAAAGGTATGAGTATTGAGACTAACTTAGCAATGATAGAATTCAGAAACCTTTTCAGTACATCACAGAATTTTGGGCCTATTTATTTGTCTTTCTGAAAATTTTGCTAGATATGATGAGGCCATCAAGAGACTAAGGTCTTTTTGCCCCATGTGCATAAAGTACTGGGTATTTATTATTTGGTTAATATGTCACACTAAATTTAATTGGGACCCATATTTTATCCAAGATGCTGGTTGAAAAAATTAATAATTTCCTCCATTAATATGTTCATGTGTTGTCATACATGATAGAAAGTGCTGTTATCAGAGTACATTAGTGTGGTTGGGAAATCAAACACCATAATAAGATTTCCAAGTATGGTTGTTTATTCAGCATTGAAATCTTGGCAGGCAATAGTCACTTTTTTCCCCTTCCTATTGTTCTCTTTTTCCATTAAAGAAAGAAAAAGAAACTGTATCTCTGAAATGAATACAGGTTAATTAAAATTTTAAACTTCTGTTGACATTCTATCAGGGAAAATTGTGATGCTGTCTGGCAGGTGACTGATTTCTGTTGGCTTGTTTGTTTTTAAGCAGTACCATGTTTGCATTTGCTCTGACCAGAATGAGTTAGCTCTTGGTGGTGTCCCATGAGTTTATTAAGTCTTCAATCATGAATGCTTCTGAAAATCCAAATTCATACAATAATAAATGGTAATTTTAATTCAATGTCAACCCATGGAGCATGCATACAATGCAGACAGACTTTTCAAATGGCATAGAAGAATCTACCACTACTGAAATTTTGTTTAGATCTTGTTTCTAAAGTTGGGAGGAGGATCTTCTTTGAATATTCACGGTTTGAATTCTGCCAGGAAGTTCCACTGCAGGTAATGAAAGATTTGAATGCGAATAAGAAGGACATAGGTAATGTAGGCCTGTTTACTGTGAAAGTTTGAAACAGAAACATTTTCCCTTCAATTACCTTCAATTATAATTCTCTTGATAAACTGAACACCCTCCACACTATGGTGATTAAGGCAGTCTCCTGGGAAAAGGATGATATAGATTCAAGTCATCTTGGGTGCAAAAGGGAAATACACCCAGCTCTCCCACAGCTGCTGTTGTCAGTAGAAATCTAATGACAACTGTTTCCCCTTTAACTGCCTTATAAACAACATAGAGGTCAAGATCCTTCTTCACTTACGTTACAGATGCACAAATAAAATTGTAATGCTTTTCTCAGGGCTGAAGAAATTGTATTTGATCAGAAATAAAATAAATATGCCTATATACGCCTTTTTTATTAGTATTTTTTTTCTGATTTTAGCAGCAGTGAAACTACCCATACGAAGTAAATGAATTTTGCCTGTCTTTTTTAATTTACTACTTTTCTGAAATTGGAAACATAATTTTTAGTGTTAACCATTCCATATGAGAGAAACAAAGCTGTTATTATAACATGATCTTTTAATTCTTTGCTGCAGGATGGCAGTTTGCTACATCCATACATAAGCTCATTAATTGTTTTGATCTCATTCTGTCTTGAAATGAAATTAAGTTCTAATTGTCACATTCCAGAGTATAGGCATTAAAGCACGTAGACAAAAACACAGACTGTTTTCCTGAAGTTCTGTATGTGCTTAAATATGGACCCCATAATTTCTAATGTGTGTAAGCCAGCCCTCCATCTGCTGTACATGGTATTATGTACTAGTAATAGATGGTATTATGTACTCCTGTACAAAGGAGTCTTCATCTGTTTAGAGTGTACAATTATTAATTCTTTTGTTACATCCCTCAAATATTTCAGATCCAGTATGAAAATAGGTATATTATTTGTATTTATCATTTGCTATTCCAATTTTTTTTTTGTAGACCATTTTTATACTGCTTTTGTATTTGTGAGTTACTGGCATTTCTTTCCATGTATTAAAGCCTTTATTTGGTAAATGTATAGCAGCATTATGGTACTGTGTACTCCTTTCCTGTTGTTTCATATGCCTTACTTATGCACCTGGGGAACATTGATGAGCTCTTTTCTTTTTCAAGGATATTTCTGTTTGTCCTGCATGGCTTTTCCATGGCATGATTCTTTGCTGTGAACTGTGCCTCATTCTGAATTTAAGTTTTGCTCTCAAAATTGAGCTCTGTGTCAATTTTAAGTTTTGCTCTCAAAATTTGAGCTCTGTGTAATTTTCTTGGCCAAGGATTTGCCTGACACACAGTCATATATTCAATAGGAGACCACTTCTAAAAGCTTATGTTTCTTACCTTGTCCTTAGTTTTACACATTGAATGCATGTGAGCTCTCTGATCTGCCTGTCGCATCAATTTCATTAGCCTTTCCCCGGAAGCCAAAGGAAGTTTTGCTTATGTAATTTAATGAAACAATTCTTTTTCATGTGTTTTTTCCCTAGAAATATTTACTTTGTTCAATGGATGATCAAAGTTTGTAGGGTTCCCATCCAGATTTATTAAGCTGGAGACAGAACTGTAGGCCAAATTATTGGATGGATCTGTAGTTGGAGGATAGAATTATCTGACAAAATTAATTATTTCTTCCATCTGAGGAAAAAATTGACTAATAATTTACTTATTAAAATGCTGAGAGACTGGAAACCTAGTGCTCTTTTCCAAACAAAATGTTGTATGTCAGAATGAGAGTTAATTATGTGAACTTTATACTGGCTACTTGTGAAATCAAATTTATTCCATCTGGTGCATGTCAGTCAATCCTTAATTGTTCTGCAATTATATCTAATCATCTCAAATGGAGTAAGTTAAACTCAGAGCCAATGCTAATTTGTATTAATAGAGATGTTATGGTGTATGCTTGGGTTTGTGTCTTTATTTTTAATGTGAAATGAGAGCAGTGGTTGAATTTACATTAACAATATGAAAGAAAAGGTGACTCTCTTTCTAACTTGTGCTGATGTAAGTGACAAAACAGACACCATTATTTTGGTTTAATTATTGTCTTAATTAGCTCCATAGAATTACCCACTCCAAAAAGCTCAGGGACAAAGTTGGCAGCATCCATAAAACCAATATTGAAAATCAATAGATGGAGGATAAAGGACTTCCTTAGTCTAAGCAGAGGATAGGTCATTGTGCATCTACTCAAATGTAAGTGACTTTTATGTGGAGGAAGGGTTTTTCATATCCACTGGGAAGAAGAGCAATAAA